ACAAGAGTAAGGGTTTCCTGAAATATTTCAGAGGATGTAGGGTTGGAAAAAGATTACGAGGTTCTTCCAAAGCTGCTAAATTTTCCAAAGGAGTGCATGATTGAAGAAGCATGAGCAGCCACACACTTTGCAGAGCTTCTAAGCCCAGTTAAGCATTACCACAACAAACTTCAAGAATATGTAAATGTACCAGAAAGGTGTATCTGACCTTCATTTAAACTGTATTAGTTTTACATTGAATCACTATCAAGTGAATGTACTACATTTTTCCAAAAGTTGTTATCATATGCCTAAAAATACATAAAATTACCCTCTATGCAGTCCTTTAACAAATTATATTACCACTGCTGCTGGAACTTCCCTTCCTTTTTTTCCCCCCACATACTTGTTAGAATACCTATTTTTTTTAACAGTTCAATTTAAAATTCTAATAATTTCATCCTCATGTCAGGATAATAGTCTCTAAAAACTAGTGTAACTCAATCAATAAGCAATTTTCTGGCAGGCAGGCACAAAAGCAACGAATCTGGGAATCATCAAAGTGCTTCCACTCTGGAAAACAGGATAGTCGGCTGTTTCCATCCCTAAGTCAATGGACAGAAAGTGGACTTCATGCTTTTTAATTGAGTAACAGAATTATAACGTTGGAAAGGCACCCAAAGTGCTATCCAAAGCATTTCTGCACTTCAAGACGGAAACAACTACATGTGCATCATTCTAAACAAATTTTCTTAAAGATTTCCCAATACAGAAACATAATTTCCCTAGCCAAAATCGTTCTGCATTCCTTCGGTATCCTTACTCTTAGAAAGCTTTGCATAATTTTTCTTTGCAGAAGCTGCATGCACTTGATGACACTGTGTCCTTCTCTCTTCCAGACTAAACAATCATAGTAATCAAATTTCTTCCTCAGAGACTCCTTTTACACTTTTCATCAGTCTCACTCTTCTTGACTCTTGACAGTTAATAAACATTTTTAATGAAGGGCTGTAGCACCTAGATCTAGATGCAGCTCTTAACTGAGACATGGCTGAATAGATTGTCTTGCAAGCCGTACTTCTATTGATCTGTTAGAGTTTTGTCTTCCATTTTTAGTAGTACCATGATGTGACAATTCATGTTCCTCTTGTGAGCCGTTATAATCCCAAGATCCTTTCTACTAAACTATTACCTAGTTAGTTGGTCAGTTGTACCTCCTCTTATTTTTATGTATCTGAATATCCTTAACTGTGGTTAACTCTATTAGCTTTGTGCTTATCCCTGTATTTTAGACCATATCTCTGATACATGAAAGCTTCCTAAAGGATCTGCTCAAGTAGATTTGAAGCCTCTCACAACTACATGGTGGCTGCAGAATTAATATTCCATTATCCAGGTCATAAGTGAAAATACCAAAGCACGGACGTCCACAGAATCCTCAATGTATTCTCCTACTTTGACACTAAGTATGACTACAAATATATTCTATATTATAAATGCTTATTTTATAAATTATTTATTATATTGTAAGTAGATTTTACATATATATGAGTCTCTCTCTCTCTCTCTCTCTGAATATAAACATATACTCAGAAGTTTCCCTTCTGAGCATAACTTGCCAAATGGTACTGCAAAACAGACCATCCATTCCATTTATGTAGGACAAGATTTAGATATTTCTGGCTGAAAATGGCAGATGTCTATCAGCTGTAAGGAACAAAAGCACAGCATACAGTGAATATTTTAATCTGTGTTGCCATAAGGTGTCTACTACGTGGACAAATGGGTAAGAAACGGATAAAGTGAAATTTCTATAGGCTTAATGTGATGCTTTCCATAGAAGCACTTATTTCAGGCTAAGCATACATTATTCTGACTGGTTTCACACAAATAATAATTATGAGAATAAACTGAACAGTATTTTATTTGGAACTAGAAGAGAAATATAAATAGATGGCAAAGCGGTCACAATTCAACAGGCCACTAATTGTTAAAGTCTCCTTAGTTTTATAAAGGAGACCCACTTAAATGAGAAACAATTCCCCTCTAATTTGAAAGACATTTGAATCTTTCTTCCAATTACACAACGAACTTGACTGTGAGGCACTGATGTAATTCTCATTCAAGGAGAAAAGCATTAAGTAATCATGTTTTAATAAGCAATTCTGCACCACTTATTAGTCTGTCATTTGTGTAAACATCAAGCAGGGGAAACTTAGTTTGTATAAGATGGTATGAAATAGGACAAAGTTTGTGCAGAGAAGAGATTTAATGCAGTGAATAGGTCAGCACATACTATTAAATAAAATAGCTTACCTGTTCCAAACACAAACTACTACTCCAGGTTCTATTGCTCTACCTATATCTTGCTCTGGAAGGCTTTTTTACTGAACATGAGAAAGGAATTTACAAAGCAATACAAAATGACACAGCATCAGCTAAAAATTATAATATATGAGGAACCTCATAAGATTCATATGTGTGTCTTAATGTCTGTAGAGAGCACTTTTAACCAGACTATACAACTCCATACATCGTGACACTTGCAGCATTCTTAAGACCAGACAAGCACAAATTTCTGTACCGAAGAAAAGAAAAAGATCATTGTTAAAAACCCCAGCAGATAAATATAATTGTCAGAAAACAAAGCAAGAAATGTTGAGAGGCGAGAAGAATGAGGAAGCACAAATGAAGCCAGCAGAACTGATGGTTTTACATCAATCTACAGGAGCTTTCTGTTACTATCTACTAATAAACCCTCCTATAGCTAAACAAAATGCCTCTGTACTACTGTATCTCATGCAGCCCGCCAAGACTGATCCATTGGAGCCAGCCTGCAGACTCTTGGGCTTTCAGAGAGAGAAAGAAAAACACAGGACAATCTAAGAGGACCAACTGTCTGTAGAATTTTTAACTGCTACTACGAGTCATTTAAGAGACAAAAGTGGAAAGACAGGATATACAATAAGAAAATGCTTCTATATTCAATTAAATTCAAATTTCATTTGAATTCTCACAGCAGAGTTATTTTTAATTTTTAAATCAACCAATTTATTTTTAAATTGACCATTCTATAACTTGAAAGACATAAAGTTTAATATTGTTGTCTATGAGTTTTTGACATTTTCACAGCAAGCCCTACAATTCCCATGGTTTCTAACACCATGATCATAATCTCTAAGTTTTACCAAACTAAAGACACAGTAATAAATATAACTCTTAATTTATCTCTTAGGGGATTTATTTTTGTATTTTCACACAATACTTTAAAGGAACTTTTTTCATTTCATTAATTTCAGGAAATATATCCCTAGTCTTACAATAATTTTACACTTAATATCAAAACAGTGACATAAAGAAGATAACTTTGTAAGAGAACACATTGGTTTCTCACAAGAAATAGTACTTACTATTACACCGTTATTTTCTATATTGTACAGAGTAATTATTATCCAATACAATTTTGGATAAAGTTAAGAGAGATCATTAAAAAAACGTGCTGCTGTAGCAAATAAGTTAGTTTACAAAGCAGCTAGGAAAAACAATAATGCAATTACTTCTTTCAGAATACAGGTCTAATTGTCTATCCGGTTTACTGTCAAACACCAGGAGAAATAGGTATATTCACCTATTGAGTGAGTGAATTAACTGCTGAGACTTTGAAATACAAAGGTAACTATCCATGCATGTTATTTCCCTATTAAAGTTACATTGGTTAAATTCTTCTTCAAAGTTCTTTAGAAACCTGTACTTCTTATTAAATAATTATTTCTGAAAGAGGTAAGTTAATGAAATGTAAAAACAAATTTTTGAGAGAGGGCATAAGAAATGGGAACTAATGGGATTTGCAGATACAGCTGAGTACTGCATGCCACATGCACTTGAAGTATTTGTCAAATAAAGTATTTTTCACAGAGATATCCATGTCCAACTTCAATCTAATGTTTGAAGGACTGCAACAAGCAATAATTTCTTTAGGGTGTGTTTACAAATGCCAGCATGCCCCCATCCTGGCCCCATTTTCCATTTCTCATTTTTTGCATCACATGAGTATTAATTTTATAAATACTATACCCTTATTTACATTTCTCATTAACTATTGTGCAAAGACACAATACAGGAAGTTCATGATCAAAGACGTTTTGAAATATCTGATTGTGCTGGTATGTATCTATGTGTGTATATATCACATTATATGGATCATAAAACTGAAAAAGGTAGATAGCATTGATCACGTACAAAGTGCCCTCTTGTGGTTCCAAGCAGGCAAACTCAAACACATTTACAATATAGTATATATTTATATTGGTTTCTAATATATATCCGCATTGTTTTAGGAAAATAGTATCGATTATTATTCAGCCTAAAATTTCTCCTGCAGCAAATACTAACGTCATTTCTTTGTCCTATCTGCACATAGTAATTGACAAGTACAAGCTCTCTCTGTTACGGATCATGGAGGCAGACACCTGCCCTGCGGTAATGACAGCTACTGCATAAACTTCTGGCCATTAAAGACACAATTGTCTTGTCCCTTCCTGACACAGCTCTTTAGCTATACCAGAAAAAAAGTTTTTAGCATTCCTTATTCAAAATATCTAACAGTCCTATCTTGCTTTACACTTTATTTTTCCAGTAAAATTAATCTCAATGGTTAAGAGGTTTGGAAGAGTAACTTAATGACAGCCTTTAATTATAAATCAGGTCAAGGGCAGACATGGCCTGAAATACTGGCACTTTTAGATACGTATTAGAACTTCCATTCAGCTCTCCTATACAATATTTTTTCTGCCTCACTAGGATGTGGAACTTCCATTTTCAAAAGCAAGAAGTCTTCCAAGGTAAATAATAACTCCACATTCACAAGCAAGAGTTGAATCAGCAATCCACCTATGTTGCTTTAAAATGAGATTTACAAATGTATTATCTGTTCATTCAACAATAAATACAAAGGGAAGTTTTCTTAAAATGTAAAACTGAACAGTGACACAAAAAAGCAAATACAAAGAAACAACAGATACCTTTTTGGCCTTGGTTTTTTTTTCGTAAGTCTCTGATAATGGTTTTCTTTTTTCCTGAGTGGTGTCTTTGGAGAATAAATATTCGAACTCGGTAGTATCAAGTATATCAGGTTCTTCTAGTGATTCCCATAATGTTGGCATAGCAGTTTTCCTATAAAGGGAAAGGTAATAAAAAAAAATTACCAATAAACATTTATGAAAAACCTTATTGGATCTAACCATAATAGATGAAAATCCGTAACAGATTTAAAACTCAAAGCAACATGCACTGCTGCTATACAAACAGCATTCCTTCCCTATACCTTGCTCTTGTAAGGAGTCAAAATGTTTTGCAGAAGGCTGTACCAAAAAGTTTAGCTATTTATTATCCATGCCTGCTAGACCATCAATATGCTTTATTTGTATTGTACAGTTTTTGTACAACAACCAAATATTACAACTGCAGCTTATGCAAATGCATCTTGACAGATTTCTGCCAGTTCGACCCTGATTAGGAGTATTTCAACAACATCTATTTGAGAAACTCCCAGTAATCTATTTAGACCTGTAAAAATAAACAATATCAACAAATAGAGAAGAAAATTTATTCAAGCATATTTGTCGTTTGTACAGGACTTGATTCACTTTACGTTAGCTGCAGATGTTGTAAGCTCATATTTATCCTTGTTGCAATTTTGAGAAACTTAGAGTGATTATGTGGCCTATATTTTAGGAGACTAATCAATATTCTGCTCCATTCAACCAACCGTAAATTTTAAATGTGAATTATCTTTCCTTCTTTTTTTGCTTTCTAAGACCAGACTTAGTTTTGTAACACTTTGGAACTTGTTTACATAATCCTCTAATTTTATCTGGATTTGGGGGAAAGGCTGCAGTGCTGCAAACACAGCACTTCAATTCTCAATGAGCCTTGTTTCAAAATTTCAATGCTTCAGGAACATATATATGTGGGAAAAAACTTCTGAGCGGTCCTCCCTGTCTATCAGTAGAAGGTGAGCCCATGTCTTCCAGCAGATGTCACTAAAAGGCAGTGAAATTATTTGCAATAAAAAAGTGATGAAAACCCCTATAAAATACAAATGGCTGACATCACTAAACATACTTCCATTAGATGCAACATGCAACAAAATGTAATTTTCCCTACTAATTTAAGGGGAACCAAAACTAATTAATTTCTTTTTCAAATTTAGGATTCTTCCTACTTAATACTCAACTGTACATTTACTATCATGAATGTTCAAAGAACTCTAACTTTTCCATTAGCATCTGCTGATGCAGCACATTCTGCGTCACAGGACATGCTTAGAGCTCTGCAGCTTCACTTTCCCTTATATTAGCCGTAGTGTCAGCCACACGGAAGAATGAAGGATTCTTTCTGGCTTTGCAACAAGAAGTCCTGGATAGCTGCTGATCTGAGCAGCAAACCCTTGAAGAAGTTTCCAGTTCTAGTGCAGACCACAAAAATATAATGCACATAATTTTCATTTATAATGCATACAATTTTAATTTAGATTTAATATTTTAAAATAATTTTTATGATCTATTTTTAGACTTCTAGAACTGATTCAATTTTTTTTCTTAACACACGTAAATTCCATGCCTCTACACTGATTTTGTGACACATTCCTAGACTGCTAATTTTTTGTTATTAAGTCTTAAATAGCATACATACCCTTGAATCATGGTCTACAAGTAGCAACAAGAGTCCAAATAAACATATTTTACCTGCTACCTTGTAACTGTATCCGTGTCCAATACAAAGGCTTCATGGGACGGCTGGGTTCAATGGCAGGTTTTCGAGGACCTTGGTTTGAAGATAAAGTGCTATTAAAAAAGAACCCAGGCCCAGGAGGTGGAGGGGGTGGAGGTAACCCAGACCCAGGCAGTGGAGGAGGAACAGGAGGTCCCAGCCCTGGAAGTGGTGGTGGTGGCGGTGGTGGTGGTGCTTGAAAACTCCTACAGCCTTCAGAAAGCGGAGGCGGCAGTGGTGGACCAGATCCAAACTGAGATGTCAGTGAAGTCGGACCTGTTGGCAAAGGTGGTGGTGGAGGAACTAAACCTGGTAGTGAAGAATCAGGAAGGGGAGGAGGAGGTGGTGGTGGTGGTGGCGGTGGAGGCGGCATTTGTTTTGGTTGACAAGATATAACACTTTCTGAAGACTGTACATTGGAATTGTCCTTATTTTCACTTTGGGCAGAAATACTATGCGACAAAGAAGAAATATTAAGCTTTTTGGGTACTATTTGGTTACTTTTCACAGCTCTGTTTTCTTCTTCACTGGGCTTTATGAAAGTTTCTCTGTCAGTCTGAATACATACATTTCGGTACGTCTTTGGTGGGTTATCATCTTCAGTAGAAACACCAATATCCTTTGCTTTTTCATTTCTTCTGTTTAATTTATTATCAAGTTCATTCTTCAGATGTGCAATCGTTTCCTCAAGCTGAGCAGTTGATACAGCATGTTCTCCACGAATATGGAATACCCTGAGTTCAAACTGAGACTGCAGAACAGCAACAAAAAAAAAATCCCTTAGTGCAAATATTTCTCCAAAGGGTTTACTTCGCAGTTAGTAAAAGCTTCATATTTAGACTATGTTCTCACTTTAAGCAAGGACAGAAACACCTCACTTTTCCAGTTCTAAATGGCTTTATTGCAAGCTATTACATAATTAGACAATTACTAATTTTTATAGAAACTTAAGTAGTGTGTGTTTCAGCAAAACATATCTTATAAGTAAATATGCAGAACACCAATTTAGCAAATTCTAACTTGCACTTTGTCTTTAGGCAGACTTACTATTTTTTAATTGCTGAATGCAATAATTAATAGTTCATTATGGAAAAAAGGTATGTTTTTCGAATGGGATTGTACTTAACAACTTGTACTTTATTGACTACTTCATTTAATAAATATGTCATATATATAGTAACATGTTAGGAAGTAAAAAATACATAAAACACAACAGATGCTGAAATTCCTCCCAGATAAAACATTAAATAAACTAAAACACTTTCTCAATCTATTAAAAGTGTTCTCATCAATTACATTCACAGAGGAACATGTAAATTCTCCTTCAAATTTATCTTTACTATTAGACTAAAACTTCATTTCTATCAGATACATTTTAACCTACAATTCAGGAAAAGAAATCTTAGAACAAAGAGGATCAAGAGGATTTCACTGAGGTAGAAGCAAATCGCAATCTTTCAAGAATAGATGTAAGTAAGGAAGAAAACCCCCCACTTTTCTTACCATATGTCAGAAAAATACAAAACATTTGACACAGAAATATCTCCTGCAAATAATCTGATCCAATACTGCTATTCCAGATTATTAAATCCCTACAAGCTATCTTCTGTTATGCCATGTTACTATCAGGCAGCTGACTGGTGTTATCTCGTTTCTTTGCAAGGCAATGACTCCTGAAAGAGCATTTTCCATGGTCTGTACAAAGGGAAGCCAACAGAAGCAGCTGTGATTTTCCCAAATTTCTGCAGGCACAGCAATTTACATGTAGAAAATGCCCACACAGTGCTGGTCAGAAGTGAACATAGCACTCCCCACTTATCATTCCAACTCGAGTACTAGGTCAGGGTTAACAGTTTACAGCATTAATTAATATGCATCCAGGTCGTGCATGTGTAGCTCAGTATGGCAAATACAGCAGCGTAATATACTCTAATTTTATGTCGTACAAAGAAGCTTGAATAGATATGCAAACACTATGCTATTTCTTATAGCAGCATGATCACCTTGTGTTTTAATCGATTTGTTGAGAACAAGTCCAAAGTAAACAATCTGAAAATATTGGACACAAAATGCTCCTTTTCTTAACTGGCAAGTGTGAAGGTGGGAAATCAAGTTTAAAGTCTTGCAAAGATAATCAAACAGAGATTTGTATTGGAAACAACCCAATTTCTATTAGTTTTATAGAAGAATTAGGACTAATATGTAAAACAAATACAACATTTTTTGCTTGGCTTTTTTGCTTTTCCTACTTTTACTCTATATCAAAGTTTGTTGTCGCTCAGCTTCATTATTCAGTTCAACTATCACAAGATTTTCTGCCACCTGAATTGCTCCAGAGCAATCACTTTTCTTTTTATACTGAGAATACTGATCCATAAATGAGGTAACGAAGTAAGTTTGCCTCAGGGAATTTAGCTATTTTGTTTATCATAGTATTTTGCCCCTATTTGACATCAAAAACTCCCTGACAGAACAATTTACTTTGAACTTTCAACATTTTTCCCAGCTGTAAATCTGAAGTCACCTTAAAAACACACTGTAAAACAGGCACAGTATTTAACAAAACTACTTATTACATTTAACTGGGCATAAAAGCAACTGTGTTAGTATTACGCACCTTTTCAACTACAGATCTTCAATCTTTAATTTACGATATAAAATTGGTGATTTAAACTCTAAATTATATTTCAGGTTATAGTTGCTTTCCATTCTTTCACATTTTCAGAATTATTTTGTGTTAATAAAAATAATAAAACTATTAACATAAACAAGAATTAAAGCTAAAATTACTAAGCACAAAAAAGAAAAGCAAGTTTAACAAAAACAGCACATTGGGAATCTGTGTTGAATATCTCACCAATGAAAAAGATCAATTTTACCCCACTGACTGCAATATAAAAGAGCAGTAGGTAATAAAGCAAGTTTTTCTTTTAATTACCTTACATCTCAAAACAAATCTTGTTCACCAAAATAAGTAATATTGAAATCCTTTCAGTTTATATAACTATGATAGTATTTTCAATAAAATTTTCAAGAATATGGCTATTCATACATACTATATATATATATATATATATATATATATATACACACAAACACAAACAATACATACATATTCTTAATAAACATCTGATTCCTGGCAAATATTTCTTCAAAAGAGATGAAATGCTCTAAAAATCTTATAACAAATCAAACGGCGATCAAACAGCATCCAGTCATTCTAAACAAGCAGAATTTAAAGATTCTCTTTCTGTCATGTAGCACGACAAGTATGTACAAAGTCTATTACATTTTCTTTATTATACCACTAAGGACTAGTTACATGTCTTATCAACATGTACTATTAAATAATAAAGAAAACCAGTGTGTACTAAACTTAGGCACCTTTGACTCCTGAATGTAAGTCAATAACTAAAAATAATTTAAAAAAAAAATACAAATTTCATTTGTCTGTGGCTTAAAACTTTTTACGTGGTACTGCCTGTTAGAATGAAATCTCAGAATTCAGGCTGCAGAATGCTTACTGATAATCACTAGACCTCAATACACAAATCTTGAAGGAGCCTATGGAGAACCCAAAGTAAAACTAAATTATCTAATCAACTGAAATAATTAAACTAAGTTTAAACTAAAATAAATTTTCATGTAACCTTCTCGTCAATACAACCATTTGTTACACAAGATGATTTCTGACTTTACAAATAGGTTGTTCGTTAAAACTTGTGGGATTTGCAGTGGTTCAGAATCCTACTTCTGATGCATTATATATCGAATTTATAGTTAGTATTTTTATTATAAGGATAAATCACTAAATTTTGCTACAGCAATTGGTGATACAGTACATATCCAGCCAAATCTTTTCTTCCTTACAATTCATAAAACAAAGGGTAGGAACAACGGAATCTTTTTACACTTCACATGATTATACACAAATCTAACATACTGAAAAGTAATATAATACAACTACTTCCATCTCACAATTTCAAATGGAAAATAATACTGTGGCTTCCAGGAAGAACCAATTTTTAGCTAAATTCAAATCTATAGGGATCTGAATAGATACAGTTCAAATTATTTGGCTGGATAGATACTGTTCAAATTGTTCAGTATCTTGTTACCGAATATGTCAGCAATTATTGCTAACATATTGGCAATATACAGAGTCTGTTTTCATGTCACATCATGCACCAGACTCCTAGAGTCTTTGGGAACTGCTGTTAAGATGAACAATGACCGAAGGCTATCATCAGAATATAATAGTTTGGTTACAGCTATTTTAAGCAGAATGAAACGGAAAAAAAAGAAAATGCCGCAGGAAACAAGATGTCTGAGGGAGGGAAGGTGTGGGAAAAAGGCTGGAGGGACTGAAGACATGGGAGAAAAGCTGTAAACTAAAGCTTAGAAAGCCACCCTATGCAGCATGAATGAGCACGATTTATTCTGAGAAAGGGCAGAGGACTTGGAAACCTATCAGAGTAAAATGTATAAATTTCTGTATAAAATGAAGCAAGACATTAAGAAGAACAATTTGGGAGATGTTCATCAGCACGCTTTAGACATATAGGAAAACATTTTTTTTCATCTGAAAAATGCATTTGCCACTCTGCTGACTTGTTTAGAAGCCTGGTTGCCCACTTCTCAACACAATTCATATAAGAAATTGGGATTATACATGCAGATTCAACACGCAACAAACTAGCGCAAGGAACACTTTTTTCTACTCTGCTGACCATTTCACTTTCTTGCAGCATTAATCCACTCTTTCAGACAATATAACAAATTAAGCCCTCAGGCCTTGGGACATAGAGGATCTCTGGCTTCTCATTGTGTCAATGACTCTTGTCAGCCAGTCAGTGACATTATCTAGCTTTTATCACATATTCCCCCCTCTCCTGTACACACACATGCACATACAGACTTGATACTTACAGCTTCCTAAATTTTTATGACAGCAGAGATATATTTTCTCCAGAGTACTGTTACAAATATCAGATTAGAGGCAGGTATGTTTCCACAAAACCTTATTACTATCTCCTCTTTATATGACCACCTCAAAAGAAAATGTTAAGTATATAAACATACTCACTGTAAAAGCCTTAATGTCCTGAAATCAGATTTTAATCATAAACTTGAAAATACCTCCTGAGTATCTTAAGCTTAATCCACACAGCAATATGCTACTGAAAAAGAATTGTCTTACCTCAGAACAATTTTTCTTGCATTCATTGTCAATATTAAATATGAAAACAATGCTACGCTAGTATGGTGAAGAACACTGTTAGAATTCAGAATTCATAATAAATTTATCACACAAGGAAGTGGTATGAAAAAACATGCTACAATTCAAAAACAGAGGACTGCAGCGTACATTGCCACTGAAGGGATGGATCAGTAGTACGGCAATTCTCGGGGAAAAGGATCTGCGAAGGTCAGCATATCACAAAGTGATCATGAGTCAACAACTCCGTATTAAAAATATATAAATAGAAATGTCATATGCGAACAAGCAATCCTTGTGCTCTGTTCAGCTACTAAAAGCTGTGCATACGTTCAGTTAAGGGAAAATGCCGTCCCTGTGTTCATGATCACTGCTATTGAAATTCGGGGCAGCTCATTTGTATTAATTTTCTAGGTTCAATCTATATTGCCTTTTGTCTCCACCTCACACTTACTGGATAATGCCCCCCTTGTTTCCTTAGTTTCTTTCTGTTTCTGCTGCTGAAGAATACTTCCACTGTACCCTTAAATTTG